AAAGTCTGTTTTATCTTGTGTGCAATACACACTTAACCCAATTTTTAGGCAGACCTAAGCTCTCTATCTTAACATAGTTCAAGATAAATCATGGGTGGAAGGCTCAAAGAAAACATGCAATTTTTATGTTTATTTATTATAGTCATGTGGTCCTGATAAGAAAGGAAAGAGATGAAGTTTTGAGGGGAAGGAATTCCATATGTTTAGAGCTGGGTGTATGGTTGCTGTAATGGGTTAGACTGATCTGTGGATTTTAAGTAGGCTTGCTGCTATTCTGGTTTTGGTTTTTTTTCCCTTTGTCCTTCTCTAAAAGGAGTTTTCCAGATATACATAAAAGTTTACCCTTCAAGAACTGGCTTAGAAGAAACCACAGCTCTAGATCCAAGCTACCGCAGTTACTCCTCCCTATGCATGGAAAAGTGCAGAGCTCTGCCATTATGTTATGGAATGCCAGGACACTCAGGACCGTGTCTGCCAGACAGCCCAGTGTGCAGACCCTGCACGTGTCCCCAGCAGCTGTGCCCATGTCGGAAGGGCTGGACTACCTGCCAGCTGGTTGTTCAGCTGTGACTCAGCCTTATGGTGTTCACTGGCCGTTTCTGTGGTTTTGGCTGCTTCTGCAGGACTTCCACTGACCAGCCCAGTACCAATTCATTTAGTCTCAGCCTGTAAATGCGTGATTGCTAATCATGAAAAAGCAATAGAAAAGCCTGTGCACTGTATGGATTAAAAGAGCAGACGTGTTTATAGCCTGATAACAACAGGGTAATCTGCCAAGATCAGGAGTCTCACATTCCCATATCCAGATGATTTTATTTTTGGAGTCCAGTTGGTGGTTTTCATTTTTGGCTATTGCAAAACCATTGTAGGTCTTAGCTGTTGCAACACAGGAGGAGGAGGAGGAGGATGATGTTATTGGAACGGACGTTCTGCGCTCCTATTTAGGAGGCTTTCACAGTAGTTGCTGGTCTCCGAGTACAGCAGGAGGAATGATGCTCCCTCCTTGCTGCCCGGTGAGGGGGACAGGGTGCAACTGTGTCACTTAATAATGCCAGCTGTGAGGGGCATGGACAAGCTCCAATGACATTTCTGCTCCGCCCCAGGAAGAGAAGTCCTGAGGTGAGGAGCGGGAGGATTGTAAAGTGAAGCCCTATGGAGAGGAGGAGGGCTATCCTCAAGACTTTAACCAGGAAACGGACTCGAGGCAAAAAGAAATGGAGAGGCAAGCAAACTCTTATTTCAGCCAGCAATCTGTGCTCTGCTCTGGGGAGGGCTTGCAAGTTGGAGCTTAACCAAAACAGTAATTCTGCTTTTTTGGAGGGAGAGGAAGGGGGGACCTTTACCTGGCACATCAATGTTATGCTATTGTCTGCTCTCCATTTCTCCTGCCTGGGCTGAAGATGCTTTTTAAAAAGTAGGGCTGTTGTGTCAGGGTGGCATTGCAGCTGTGTGTGAGCTTGCTGGGGAACTTGTGCCACGCTGCATCCCTCTGTGCTGGTGTGCTTGCACTGAGCAGGCTGTACTCCTCACTGCATGCTGTGTCCTGTGTTACAAATGAGACCTGAACTAATTGGCCGGGATGCGGAAGCGCCCATGGCAGTGGGTAAAATTGGTGCTGTGCTCCCTGTGGTGTTCCCTGTCTTTTCTTTTGAATCCTCTTTGGAGAGTCTGACATAGTGTAGCAGCAATGTTTTGGGCACCCTGAGTGTCACTGAGGAGTAATTCATCTAAAGCTTGTGGGGGATGGAAGGCTGAGAATGATTGAAGTCCCTTGCTCTACTGACTGTGCCTGAAAGGAATGTAGTAACAGCCCAAACTAGGCTACCCAGAAAATGGTTAAGGCTTTTGGTTACTGGAAGGAGCTGTTTCTCTGTCTTTTCCTCCTCCTCCTCTTCTTCCTTTATTTGCTCTTACTGAAATTTTCCCCACTGTGAAGTACCTAATCTTGGGTGACCATCACTCCAGGAGCCACAGGGACCCATGCCTCAAAATGGGGATATCCTCTAGGCATGATGTGCTGCAGCTGTAAATGAACAAGTTTGTTTGACCTTGTTACTGCCTAGACCAAGGAATTTATCACCCTATTTTTATTATTTTTGTCTTCATAGGAGCCCTGTAGCACTTATACAAGTGTCTGTTTAAACAGTTTCTTAATTGTATGTGTTCTTCTAGCCACTGTAGTGACAAAGACATTCTCCTGCAGTGACTACCTTATCCAAGGTAGGACAGAGTAACTCTAAGAAGCCCTGCTGGGTTTCAGATATGAGAATGCAGGTATAATGTATCTTGCCAAACTGTTTTAAGTGCTGCTTTTTTTTGGTTTGTTGGGGTTTTTTTGGTTTTTTGTTTTTTTCTTTTATATATATATATATATTTTATATATTTAAGCAGAGCTGTGGAGGTGGATTTGGAGTGCTGATTCTCCATGTTGCCTGGCAAGGGCATTCCCCTGGCACACGGTCCCTGGCTTGGCCTCTGTGGCTGCTGGTGGGGTGTTTGCCAGCCTGTGCTCCAGCCTGGTCCTCTCCTTGTTTCCAGCAGGGACATGTGTATCACATGAACACTGCTCCTGCCACCAAGCCAATGCAGTCTTTCAGGTTTTTTTTCCCTTACTCCAGCCCTATGAGAACTGCCTAGTAGATTGGAGGAAAGAAGGCATTTGAGTTGTTGGTTTATTAATTAGCTTCCAGCATGTCCCCTGCTCCCCGTGCCACTGTTTGGTCCCTCTTGCCTTTCTACACACTGAATTCTCTGCTGTTGCACATGCATAGACATAAATCCATGACAGCTTTTGTTTCTGGTTTAAAAACTTGTATTTATCTCAAGACTCAAACAAAGTAGGGGTTGTAGGTATTACTTCCCTAAGTAGGTTGAAGGAAGATTCTAATGCTGCTGGATTCTGGACTGGAGAAAAGACTATGTGGGAAATAGGGGAAAGCATCTCATCATACTCTAGTTAGCCCAACTAGCACTGGTTTAAACCAGAGTGCACGAGTCAGGTTGATTGATCATGAAGAAAAGCATGATGCTTATTTGGAATGGACAGCTATGGTAAAAATTTGTATTATAAATTTCCATGTTGTCAGTTCATGGTCTTCTCCTATTCCTGCTACTGGCTGTGGTTCAACTATCTATAGAAAAGCTAAACCTCTTAAACGCAAGCTTCTGGAGGAGATGACTCCTCTTTAAAGAAAATTAACTTAAGTAATTTGAGGAGAGGCAGAGGCATGCTTAAGGAGCAAGTTAGCCTTCTAATTTTCTGGATTTCTTAAACTTGGTCCAAGGGGAGGCATTGTGATAGTGTTTCCTTTCAGGAAACAGTTGAATTAATTGCCTTTTTTTTTCCTAGGATTTTCATTTCACAGGATGCTGTTTTAATGGCTGATGTATTCTTTACCTCTTTCTTGGCAGGGATGCTAATTACTTGTCTGTCGAATCACTTTGCATCTCCAGTCCAAACACATATGAACGTGCTGAGTTTGGAAATACAGCACCCAGCATCCTGTGCTTGGCTGTCAGTCCCTTGACTTTTCTGGTGGACAGTTTCAGACCATGCTGCTTCCTTCCTGTGTTTTGTAGCCAATTTGTCATCAGAAATTAAGGAAAACCCAGAGTCGGCTCCTGGCTCTGTCCCTGTTGTGTAAAATGGGACATTCAGCAAGTTGTATCTGCTTCTGTGCTGCCTTTCAATCCGCATCTTAATCCAGAGCAACCGGAACTGCCTCTTAATATGTAAAATGTATAATAATGCTAGTATCCCAAACTGCTGTAATTGAGAAAACCTGAAAAAACAATTTGGCATTAAGGCATGTTGGCTCTTACAAAGTAAATACCTAAACGGAGAGGTTTTCCTTACTTTTCAAGGCGGTTTCCAGGCCGAGCACAGTCAGTCTGTGCCTGGGTCTGGGAGTGCAGAGGCCCCGTCTGTGCTGTTTGTGTTGCATTGCAGAGCCGAGATGCAGCAGCCCAAGGGCTCCCTCCACATCTGGCACTGTGCTGTGCCTGCCTCATGGCTCCACCTCAAAATGCATGATTTCGGTTTGGGGGTGAAAAAGTCAGAAATAATAATAAAAAAAGGACCAGTAGTGTGGGGGAAGGGAGGGAGGAGACCATTACTGCGCACCTTTCGTGGCCCCTGTTCGCCTAAGCGCCTGCTCTCATTCATAAATGGCTCTGACAGTCGAAAGCCCTTGGTCCGAAGAGAAATCGAACAAGTGGGGGTTGGCTCCGAGGGCTCCAGGAAGGCGATGCAGGGGGAGCCGAGCCCCGTCCCGCCGGGGCTGCTCTGCCGGGGGAATGCGGAACTGCGGAGCTGGCGGGGGGCAGGCGGGGGGTGGCCGAGTTTGAGAAGCGATCTGGCGCTATTACTTTTTTTTTTTCTTTCTTCTGTTTCAAGTAAACACTCTTCCCCGCCCTCCCCTCGCTCCCTCCACCCCACCTCCCTCTCTTTCAGTCCCGCTCATGTGTTTCTATTTAAGGGCTGCAGTGCAGACGAATATGATTGGCATCTACAGCCCCCTCTTGACTTTCAGCTCAAGCCTTTAGAGTGGAGAAGGAGCTGAGCCGCCAAGGGGAGAGCTGTTTCTTCTTTGGGTTTACTGGGGGGATGGCTCAGCTGTGGATTTATACTACTTCTGCCCAGGATTTTTCTATCTGAATGGGAGCAAGGATTGTGGAAACCATGTTGGGAAGAGGTTTATTTTAAGAATCCATCATGAAACTGTGCAACTAATTCACTTTTTTGGCTCATTTTTATATTTTTTTTCCTCCCCTTTTTTCTTCTTCTTCTCTCCAATGTCCCTCTGTGCTGCTGGGTTGTGGGCCAGAGGAGGCTGTTTCTATATGGCCAGCCATTTGGGGATATGCTGCAAGCCAAGGTTGTTTGCTGATTTGCTTGGCTCTGGTGACAAGTTGGCCTGTTGTGAATCGGATGGACGGAGGTCGCTCTCAAGGAGCCATGGCTGGAAGCTGGCTTACGGCTTGCTTTTTCCCTTCCCCAGGTGCTGATGCTAGCTCTGAACCCATGATCCTGGAGCAATATGTGGTGGTGTCCAACTATGAGAAGCAGGAGAACTCTGAGATCAGCCTCCAGGCTGGAGAGGTTGTGGATGTCATAGAGAAAAATGAAAGTGGTAAGTTATATTTGCTGCTTTTCCCTCTTCCAATGGTCCAATTTTTGCATTTGTTCCTCTGCTTTCAGTTTCCTCATCACTACTTAGCTGTGTTTGCTCCATCTGGTACAGTTACTATGTCTGGCAGAGGATGTTGAAGTTTCTCAATGTTGATTTGGGCTGGGGGCCAAATGTTGCCTTCTACTGTAAGAATGTTTCATAGGTTTTGTGTGTTAATTAGCCAAGGTACGCTAATGGAAAATGAAGGTGACGGAGAGAAGGTTCTGCAGCTAATGAAGCTGATATATAGTAGGCTGCTATAGTTGCCCTGCTGTCTCTTCAAGTTTCTGTCAGTATTTCCATTACTAACTCCCTTTGCAGAGGATTTATAGGATGAGTGTTTAAAAATTTCTTGGGATGAAACTTGGCTTGACAGCTTAGTCCATGGCCCAGAGCTCGGTAGGGAGGGGAGAAAATGTGTGCAGATAAATACGTGGCCATGCAGTTTGAAAACTTCTTGCAGAAGTGTTAATTGGGGAATTTTGAGGCAAAGAGGCAGAGGTTGTCATGTAAAAGCAAGATGAAATCCCCTTCTACCATGCATGGAATAGCCAGCTTGCACTTGGAAAATGAGACTTTTGGCAAGTGTTTGTGTAGATTTCTTTTATGTACTTTAACTTTTGGATGCCTGGTAGCTTTGAGTTGGGCAGAACACATGCAGGAGACTGTGTACGTGTGAGTGATTGGAGTGGCTGAGCAGCTGGTTTGAATAACTGCCTGTCTGCAGCTCCCCCTCCTCCCCTCCAGCACTCCTTGTGTATTAATCCAGAGCTGTTGTCCAGGACTGGTTTCCAGCCCACTCGTGACTTGTGTGTCCTCATCCAGAGGAGCTGCTGACATTTGGATCTATTCAAGCCAAGGCTTACATTGTGGTACCTCCACACTGAGGGCCCTTGCCACTGGTAGGCTCTGGAGTGTGCTGGGCACAGCAGAACTTGGGGACACAAGGGCACCCTGATATGAGGTTCAAATTCAGCAGAGCTTTGGAGCCAGGTTATCCACAAAGATGACTATGCATTGTATTTTTTTTTTCCTTCTTTTGATGGAGTGGTAATTTCTCTGTTGTATGAGAGCTTCATGCTTGTTTGGCTCAAAGTGGTGCAGTCATTTGCTGGCTGGTGACTTAGTGTGAAGTCCAGAAGGATTGTGTGTAGAAAGGCATTGGCTGGTATGAACAGAAATACCCATCTCCTGGGTATTGACTGCATCACTTGTAAAACTAATAGAAACCAAACTGCTCATCTACCCCACTTTAAAGCAATAGTTATGATTGAAGAAGGAAAAATGTCTTCACTTCTTGAACTATGTCTGGCCTAGTGGATAAGCACTCTCCCTTCCAAGCCTACAGCTTCTCATTGTCAATAGTGGGTGTCCCTGGCACCAGAGCAAGCCTGGTTATATTGTGACAACTTATATTCATATTAATGATATCCTTGTCTTGGATAATGGCTTATGGAGCCAGGGGAATTAACCGGGCTGTTAAATAATACAAGAAGTGTCTGAATTCCAGTTACAGTTCCTTTGTGTTTTCATTTAGTGTGGCCTCTCTGCCTTGCACAGTTCAGACCACATTGTGTTGAACCACATGGTATGCAGAGATAGAAATGGAGAATGTCAGGGTTTGAATTAATTAGTGGGTCCAGGAATGTGACTCTTCTCAGGGAACATCCTTGAATTTGGATTATACTTCTTAAAACTATATTCTGATGCTTGGCAGCCAGATTCCTTAGTGTTCATGTAAACAAGAAAGGAAATCTGAAGCCTGGAATTCCATGCTGTGATTTTGCTCTTTATTTATGTATGTACAAAATAAAGATACCTATAATCTTAAAAAAAGCCCAACAGATAAGCTCATAAGTCACAGGTTGGTGATGGAGAGAGCGTCACTTGTTTGGATGCCTCTTAACCATTCTGGTAAGGAACTCATGGTTTAGTTATTCCAATAACAGGACTCCAAAGAGTCTCTTAATTCTTCCCTAGGTTAGGGATACCACAGGAGTGACCTCAATACTATGTCTTCTTGTCTCTTCAGCTACAGGTGAACTTTTGGATGGCATGTGATGAAACTAGCAAAAGTTTCTCAAGAGTCAGCTTTCAAAACTTATGAATTATGGCTTGAATTTGATTATCTGCTCAGCATAAGCAAGCAAACCTAGGAGATGTGGTTATGACCTCTAAGAACACGGGGATATAATTGTCAAGAAAATAAGATTATTGGGCTATTCACATGTCTAGTACTTCATTTCACTGTATGGTTATTTTTGCCTTGTAAATGTTGTGAAACTACCTGTGATGTGTAAATTGAGCTCATTCTTCTAATCCATGCAAAGGAGATGCAAGGTGTTTTGGATGTCACCTGCTGCAGGGAAAATGTCTTCAATGAAAGGAAGGAAGAGTGGCTAGGCAGCTTTTTAACTGACAGCTGAGAAGTCCTGTCAGACTGGACAGTGTGTGTGGAATGTTCTGTTGGGCCAATATTTTGGACTTCCTTGTATGTATAGAAATGTATATATCATATCATGTCTGCTTTGGGTGTTTAACTGTACTTTGGGGAGGTTAGATGTGTAAAGGCACAAATGACTTTCATTTTAAAAGCTTGCCTGAACATGGTTGCCAAGGACACTTAAATGGTTCTTTTGTTTTTTGGAGTAGAAAAACTTTTAACTTGGCTTTGTTGCATGGCTTTCAGAGGAAAGAAACACCTTCTCTTTTCTGGTCAAATCTCCTGATGTTTTTTACACAAGGAAACTCACAATTGGTTTTCAAATGATAGTGCATGTTTCACATCCTGCTGGATGTTTTATTCTGCATACTTTTAGGGCCTGAGCTTGAGTTACCATCTTTTCTGATGTTTGCTTACAAGTTGTGGGCTCTCCTGAAAGGACGTAAGCTGTGCTTGTTCAAAGCCCAGTGTTTAGGGCAGAGGTAGAAGTGGGGTAAATATCTGGTTTTTGATTGATTGAAGCCTTATTTGGTTTTCATCAAGCTTCTTTAGCTTCATCTTAAGTGTGTCACATTTACTGTGTAGTATTATTCAGTGTTACTTTTGTCGTGTAAGAGATGGTATTTAAGGTGTCTCACATTTGGTAGGGCTTGTGTCATTTGGTTTTCTCTTTCACTAAAAGAGCTGGATAAGTTGTCTTCATCATTGTGCTAGTGAAAGTTATTACTTGGACATTATTTGAAGTTGAAACTTCTGTCCAATATTATGACTTAAGAGCAAGGTCAGTGTAGCATATGTGGTGAATAATTTCCAAAACCCTTAATCTGAGTTCTGAAGCCTTTGGGTCACTATAACCTGTTTGTTGCTGCAATTACTGTAGAAGCAAACCTTGCCAGACTTAAATAAAGCTGTTGTACTTCAGAACAAGTTATTTAGTAGTGTACCAGATCTCAGACTCCAGCATTTGGTTTTTTCAACAAACACCTACTTTGGCTCAACAAAAGTTGTCCTTCAGACCTTAATTCTGTTTATAAGAGCAGTGCGCCTGTTGTATCTGATGAATATTTATCTCTTTCTTTTTTCCTTATCTGGGAGAAAAATCTGTATGTAGCAATGGTCACAAATACACCAGGAGAAAAAAAGGAGATTTACAGTCTCTACAGATGTTGTCTGGGAAGGGGCTGTAGTTGCAGGGCTTACGTTTCTTGCTAGAGGTGACTGTGATTTGTTTAAATGCAAGTTGTAATCAACCTGCTCTGTCCAACACTATCTAAACATTTCTGAGTTGTTTCAGAAAAACTTTGTGAATAGTTGACGTAAGTCCTGTCTGTCGACTACATAGGCTTCTTTTAAACCTTAACCAAAAAAAGCCTCGTGGAATGACTTAAAAATGTATTTCTGTTGCAGTAAAGAAATGTTGTGACTTTAAAGCAGGAATCTGACAGATTTCTTTAAGGTGGAAGAGGGGGGGCCAGAGCAGCTCCCTCTGCCAAGTTTTGCATGGATGTGGCTTGAAATGGTTAAGCTATAAACTGTGTCAGCAGTGTTTGTAATGGAAAACCTGACAGACAGTGAAGTATGAGCACAGTCCTGAAGCACCTCTGCCTCTGCTGCTGCTCCTCTGCTTGCAGGCAGGGTGGGAGCTCTTCCCTTGCAGCCCCTGGGAGCCGTGCCTGCGGTGGAGGCATCGTGGGATGGTGTTTTCAGCTGGGCTGAGAAGGGCTGTAGCCATTTCCTCTGCAATTACATAACTGCAGACCAATTTTTAATGTTACAGTATATGTAATACGTAAAACAAGGCTATTATGGTTAGTGTAACTTTATCAGGACCCAAAGGAACCTCTGGGAAGGGAGGCTGTTCTCCTCTCTTTATCTGGGATGTGGGACTTGGCACTGAAGTATCACTGTGGAAGATCCTTGCTCATCTGGGAGTCCTGGCAGCTCCTGGGAGTCCTGGGACTTGCTGGTTGTCCACACAGTGCCAGGAGGTGAGCATGTGCCTGTCCTTTGCTACTCCATTTGGTTTCACTGGTGCTGCTCACTGGCTGCAGTTGTGACCTAGGAGAGGGGCACAGAAAGGTCACAACTCTCAATTCCTGGGGATGCGCTGGCTTTTTGGAAGCTCCCTCTTAGACTGAGGGCTTTTGGAGTTAGGCTTCTGTCTCTTCATGGAGAACACAGCGCCCTTTATTTGAAGGTGTTGCTTTCCACAGTTAGTAAGTGAATTTATTTGGTACCAGAAGAGGCCAAGATTACTTTCATGGTTAACTGCTGTATCTTCACTAAAGGCACACCCTTAAAGTGTTCTAAGTAGAAACAGGGAAAGGAAGGTTTCTTGCAACTCATGGACCAATCTTGCATCTTCATATCCCTTCTGCCATGCCTGTTCTTGCAAGTAGCATTAATTTTTAGTCATCTTTCTTTAGTGTTGGTGGGGCTTTTGTTTTAAATTTTGTAGAGATCACTGTTTCTATCTTGCATCTGCTTTTTGCTGCTCTGCCTCTTTTTCTAGGTCCTT